TGCAATTGATAACACAACAAAACAAGCCGGCTAGCAAAACGCTATTGCTGGCTAATATTTTCTCCCTTTTCAATAGGTAAAGTTTATATATACTGCTCTCTGCACATGTGACACAAATCTACATGCTAAATTTGGGTTTGTTTAGAAGGACTTTTCAGCCATGCTTACTTATGTTATGTCAGTGGGCTAACAACGGGCTTGTCATTGCCTTCAGACAACATTGACGAGTGTGCTATCACCCTCTTTGAGCTCTGCATTCATGAGGTGTCAGATTGGTTTGAAAGTTCACACTAATAAGTCTACATTCCCACCCATATACATTTCACATGGTTGTCCCCAGACGTTCCTGTTCAGAGATCATGCCTGGCTACTCAACGCTAGGCCGATTTCAGCAGAAAATGTTAAATGGGATATCAAGATGTCAAAGAATGAACCTGATCTCGATAAGACATGATGCCACGCTTGTGCTTCTGATTTCGATAATGAAAGGTTGAGTATCAGCCAACATCAATCAATACTGATCCGATATTTTTCCTTTACAAAGTACTTGACTTTAAAATAAGCTATCTGTAGCTATTTGAAGTACAAAGCCATCTTCAGTCTGTGCTGTTGACAGCAATATTGGCACAGGTATATTTACATTACTACTTTGTACTATCTTGCACAATAAAAATTTATTATACATACATACATATATATAGATATATAGATATATATTTATATATAGCTTTCTATAAAGCCTAGTCGTTTTTAAGAAATATCAGATTGGTATCAGTATCAGCTGATGCTCAAGGTTACAATATCAGTATTGAAATCTGAAATGACAAAGTGGTATTTGGACATCTGTAGCTATTTTTTTTGTTGTTGTTTTTTTTTGTTGATGTCAATCTGATGAATGTCTAGAAAGGAGAAATGCTTGTGCCTAAGAAAGGGAGACAGAGAAAGAGTCAGTGAGAGTGAAACAGAGAGAGAGAGAGAGAGTAATTGATGACAAGCTAAAAGGCCCTTTTTTCTCCTTCTTTGGGCGTTGTTTGTTTTTCCACCCCGGCGGGTTCCTGCCGTTTAGCCTGGCACCACTGCGGCCGGCGTGGGCACGCTGGGGGAAACTGCTGTCTGCCCTGCCCCGGTCTGCTGCTACTCCACTCTGCATACATACACACACACCACAAGATCACTGTCTATATCTGTCTACATGTGAACACACACACACACACACTCCAACTACACGCATAATGAATTGATCACAGTGAAAGGCCATTAGTCAAACAGAGCCGCCAGGCCAACCAAGGCCATCAGTATCGCTACTGTTCAGACCAGCAGAGTGGAGGAAACACACACACACCACACACACTACAAGGCTAATGTAGCTAGGTAATGGAAGCTTATACCTCACCAATTAGCATCATGTAAACTACATGGCCACACTTGCCACAAAGTGATTGCTTATGTGGTTTCTAACATTCTATAACATATGTACATAAGTATATATAACAAACATACAGTCGTATACAAAAGTTGTGTTCGGCGCCCAAGTGAAATAAAGTAACACATCCTCTACAGAGAAAACACTTCTGCACATTTTAATGCACAATTACTGTTTATGTGCTGAATTTAACTTGGAAAATAAACAAACAAAAAAATTTAATATTAGGCCTGTGCAAAGTCATGGGACATTTTATATTTTATGTGTATGTTAAACTCAGCAAATAAATAGATATTGCACATTAAATATTGCAAAAAAATGGGATGATTATATATATATATATATATATATATATATATATACATGAAACAATTACATTAAAGTAATAAAATAATACATCAAGTTAATTAAAATATATTTTTCCTAGTTTTATTATTTCTACATGCAGGAGAAATGGCAGACGTGAAGACCTGAGCGACTTTGGCAAGGGCCAAATCGTTGTGGCCAGACAACTGGATCAAAGCATCTCTGAAATAACAAAGGCCTATGGGGTGTTTCTGGTCAGCAGTGGTGAGTACCTAGCGTCAAGGCTCAAGGCTCATCAGTGGACTTGAGGATTATACCGTCTGGTCCAAACCCATAGAAGTTTACTGTGGCACAGAAATGTTCAATGATGATTACAGGAGGAATGTCTGCCACATGGTCCATGGCACCCTGCCGTTTAAGGGCCTGCATAACCACTGACTGGTCATAGTGGCCATGGTAACCTCTGTCCACCGCCGAAAGCGCCAACAATGGACACACGAGCGTTGAAAGTGGACCTTGGAGCAACAGAAGAAGGTTGCCAGGTCCGATGAGTCCCATTTTCTTTTACATCATGTGGACGGCCGGGTATGTGTGTGCTGTTCATCTGGGGAAACAATGGCACCAGGATGCACTGTGGGAAGAAGACAATCCGGTGGAGGGAATGTGATGCTCTGGGCAACGTCCTGCTGGGAAAGCACCCACCACCTAAACCTAATTCATGGCAATGGCATTCCCTGATGGCAGTGGCAGACCTTGCACACATTGTTTAAGAATGGTTTGAGGAACATGACGAAGAGTTCGAGGAATTCCCCAGATCTCAATCTGACTGAGGTTGTGGGAAGCTGATCATGGCAGCGCCACATCGCAATTTACAGAACTTAAAGGATCTACTGTTGATGTCTTGGTGCCAGATACTACAGGGCACCTTCAGAGGTCTTGTAAACTCCATGCTTCGGTGGATCAAAGCTGCTTAGGTGGTACTCAGAAGACCAACAGCATTTTAGGCCATATTGGTCATAATGTTTTGGCTCATGGGTGTATATCACATTATGTCTGCTATATACTATCAATATTATAGGAACACCTGCACAAAACCATGCAGTTTCATGTCAACATTTTCATCCAATGAAGGCCATGTATGAAGTTATTTCAATATGCCACTGCATTTAGAATGGAAACTACGTCTTTTTGAATAATCCTTGTATAGCACAGTTAATGGTCTACACCTTATGAAGGAGAAATGCCTGACACAACTTTGGTAACGGCAGGGTCAAGACCCAGTAAAGTTGGCTGCCCCCTGCCATGATTTTGAGAAGCACTGCAACACCTGATGCCACTGCATCAATAAAAGCAGCAAGATATTAAGAGTATGTCATTATGAAACCATTAGAATTAAACAGCTGACTGATCAGATATATCATGGGCAAACCACATCTTAATATATTTAGGAAAGAACCTTTGAGCACATACTGCGTGAAATTTACAAGAAGAGGAAGAGGTTGTGAAAACTGTGAACGCTCTGAGAAGACAGAAGGAAGGAAGGGAGGTAAAAATACGAGAGGGAGAAAAGAAGAGACAGAGGCAAGGCGATAAGAGAGAGTGAAGCAGAAGTGGAAGAAAAGGAAAGAGAGGAAGGAGGGACAGAAAAGGAGAAGAGAGGAACAACTAAGAAAGGAGCATTTCTACAAATTGGAACAGAAGTGAAACAGTTAAATGATTTGAAAGCACAACAACACACTCAGACAGGTTTTCAGGTCACTACAGCAGGGCCTCTGGTTTGGGGCCAGATTGGGGTCCGTTTAGATGGATTTGCTGTTAAAATTGATTGTCAACAGTAGATCAGCGGCAGGAGACGACGTTAAAAATAGAAGCACAGAATTGCACGAGACTTTATATACCCACTGCCTGGACTGAGAGCAAAGGGTGTATCGCAGTGAGTAAGCATCATGTGACTTTGAAAGGTATGTGTGTGTGTGTGAGAGAGAGAGAGAGAGAGAGAGAGAGAGAGAGAGAGCAGTTTGGCCCTGTGAAGTCACAGCAAGGAGGAGTTCCCCATTCTCAAGTTTCAGTGTGGGATCTCCTGAGTGTGTGTTTCTTTTGCGTGACAGCTGCCTTACCTGATCTCAAGCAAACAGTAGAAGGCTTTCTGTAACCCCCCCTCCTCCACCCGCCCCACCCTACCCCAAGTACACACACAGTTGTTTCCTGTAAAATGACTGTCTCTGGCTCGAGTTCCTTTTTTTGCAGTTTCTTTACTTCAACTACGGCTGCTATGCTAATTATCAGTTCAATGCGTCCAAGTCTGAAACAGGAAGAACACTTGGCAATCTTATTAAAAGTCAACGTTACATTAGTCATTTGGTCTGTTAGAGAATGAACTGACCTTGACCTTACAGGATGGAAAAATAATTAACATTAAGAAAGATAACAGGGATCTTTATTTTTAGTCACATGTTAGCCACAACTTAAAGAACTGAAAGAGGCAGTTTACCAAAATTAACACATATCTTACGCATATTTAGCTTTTATATTACATTTTTGTTTTAAAATATTTTACACAAGATGTGCAAAAATATAAAAACAAAAAATCTTTAATATAAAAAATATATATATATTTAAAATATGCATACATACTTTTTGATGTGTGGACTAATGGTTATGTATACATAGCTTTTCAGTCCACATATTTTAGTAATTAAAAAATTAAAAGACTATAAATCTATGTTGTTATTACACAAATATTATTTTTAATATAATATATTAACATAATAAAATAAAATATTTTAATATTTTAACAAATATATACTACAAAGTGTTATAAAATGTTTTAAAAATGTGTGGTCTACATTATTTTTGTCTATTTAGTAAAAAAAAATAAAAAATATTTTAATATTAAAAAATAAATTAACTAAACTAAAACTTTTAGCCCACATATTTCACTATTTAAAAAAAAAATATTAAAGAGTACAAAATCTTGAAAAAAAATATTGTCAAATGTTACCAAAATAAAATCATTTTAAAAAATAGTTTACATCCGTGGACTAAATGTCATTTATACATAACTTTTAGCCTATATATTGTAGTATTTATTTATTTATTTAACTATTAAACACTGTATAACTATGAAAAACATATTCAGTGTTATAAGTTCAGTGAGGTAGTTGATGTGTTCAAGAAAACCTCCCTGCTCCTCCTCCATCTCTCTACCTGTGCTCACGTCACCAGCAGCTCCACCACTGCAATGCCGCCCGAATGTAAACTCACACACTCGCACACACTTCCTCAAACAGTCCGTGTGCCGCTCTCCGCTCAGCACACACTGCACAGACCGAGAAAGGAGCTCACCGACGACTCAACTAACTCCCGGAGCTTTTCAGAAGGTATGTGTGGAGAAGTCTTCGTTAGTGTATGTGTAGCATATGTCCGTTTCTCCTGTGATCCTAATGATCCTAACAGACATGTATGTGTGTGAAGGCTACAGAACAGTGAGGTGTAGCTTTAGTAGCGTCTTACAAAAGGCCAATTGTAGCGGTTGGTGGTTGAAGTCGTTGATAAGATGTTTCCAGTTTCCAGCGATAATGGCTGTCTTGTACAAAAAAAGTAACTCCAGTACCTCCAGCCTCTTTCTTCTTGTCGTGAGCCAACATTGTTGTGGTGCAGCTCGAGAAAGAAACCAGCAAAAAGAAGTGTTGGACAGGAAGTGGCACTGGTGTCAGTTCGTGTTGTAGAGTTGAGGTTTGACAAGAGAAGAAGAAGAGAAAGAAAAAAAAAACATCACTTGATTTACAGACGAGGCTGGAGTTGGTTTTATTATTAGCCAGCTGCTTATTCGAATTTCCCGTTCCACCTTAAATGGTGCAGCAGTTACATTCTCTGCTGCACCATTTAAGGTGGAACGGGAAATTCGAATAAGAAGCTAACTCCAGCTTCGTGTTTTACAGTGTAGGAGTCGTGAAGGAAGGAACTTTTCTCGGTTGTCTTGGCGTTATGTAAGCGAGCTAACCTCATGGGACCATTCAGAGTGGTCGATGGAGGGTTTATGCGTCCTAAAGTTATGTTTTTCATTGTGTTTCTGTGTTTTTTTTTTTTTGGTTTTTTTTTTACCGGTTGTATGATTTCATTCCATGCGTTACAGAAAACACTACAGTAGGCGCGACAAAAGTAACCCAACTCGTTCTAGTAGATGCTGTTTTGTTGTTTTGTCGTTGACGAGACGTTTCTCGAGTTTGAAGACATTAAAGGAGAATTCGACCGGTTTTTAAAACTTAAAGCTGTATGCATAATTCATAAGTCATTCAGAGATCACGTCAGGGTTGATGCTTCGTTAAAGAGTATTCAGTAAGGTAATGTTTTTGTGTAGAACCATCAGTTCTGTATAGAACTCTATATGATGGTTCTTCAGATTGATGGAGAATGTGTAGCACCAAAAATGGTCTTCTATGGTTACAAGCTATACAATTATAAATGTATAGCAATGTAGATGATGGTAAAACAGTGGCAAATCTGACAAAGCCAAGTTTTCTTTAAGGACTGTTTTGCCTTACAACGCCCTACAGATACCTCTCCGCCATGAAAATGTCTTAAAAGTTTTAGGTTCTAGGCAAAGACCCTCTCTCAGAACTGCTGCCTGTCTCAGGCACCTAGCATTATATTCATAACCACTTAATGTAATAACTTTCTGACTGAGCTTTTAGAGGCATTAAACTCTTCAGACGTCTGGTTCCTATCACCACCACTGTGAACATTACTGACTCGTCTGATTTGGTAAGTTTCTCAGGCCAGTGTGAATGACTTTGTTTACATCTTAACAATTTAGTTATGCAGAAATTATGAAAAATCGGTGGAATTCTCCTTTAAAATGTCAAAATGACAAAGCTTAACCCACTAATATTCATATCTGATTTTTTAAAACTTTGGTCCATATATTCTGTGGGCACAACTCTGAGAATTAAACACTCTGAGAATTAAACACAACATATGGCCAAAAAGTGAGAGATCATTTAGGTCATCGTAGGTCACAGTACTGCTGATATTTAACAGATCTATTAAAAAAATGTGATCGTGAATAAACGTATGAAATTACACACGATCAAAAACATTCAGCTGGCTACCGATAGATGTTTGTCCAAAATTTCATTACTTAAATGAATCAGAACAAGTTCTGCAGCATTTTTCCTGATCACGCCTGGGTGAGTTGATGGACATTACAGGGTTAATCCTAAATCGACACTGCGAAGGATTTTTCAGTGGCATTATGATTTAGCCCAAGACTAGGCCAAATCCACAACCAAGAAATCACCCTAAATGACCTGAATCATAACTGAAGTGCAGGAACCAGAACAGCATTACTTGTACAAGCCTACTAGATCACATTTACTCCTTTTGAGATAAAGAACGTCTTCATATGCATCTGCAAGACTTTACCACATAATCTTGGGCTGGTTAAAACTCATCTTGAACTGCTGAACTGCGGACGTTCTGACCAACACATCACACGTCATGTAGCTTCCTTTATTCTGCGTTCAGTAGAAGAAGGAGGTGTGTTCACCTCATTTTATTATGTTGGCTTTTTATGACATTCAGAAAAATTCAGCAGAGGAATTGTGAGTGAAATATTTTCAGCAGTGGTTTAATCTGTCGTCTTCTCAGCAACAATCAACAAACTCCATGTGTTTATGTGTGCAGTATGTGCATACTATCTCTCTCTCTCTCTCTCTCTCTCTCTCTCTCTCTCTCTCTCTCTCTCTCTCTCTCTCTCTCCCCCACACACTTTCCCTTTCTCTCTCCTTTTCCATCTGTCTTTTCTCTCTTTTTTTCCTTCTCTCTCTTTCCATTCTCTCAGTCTATTTCTCCTACTCCATCTTTTTCTGTTCTCTCTGTCTGCCCCCCTTTCCTCTGTCCTTTCTTTCCTTTCTATATGTCTTACTCTCGCCTGTGTCTCTGTTTTCTCTCTGTCTCCCTTTTTTCTCTCTCTGCTCACTCCCCGTCTTTCTGTCTCTCTTGTTCTTTCATTCTCTCTTTCTGTCTCTTTGTTCTTCTCTCTCTTTTTCTTTGTTCTCTCTCTTATTTTTCTGACTCTATCCCACTCGTTGTCCTCTTTCTCCGTCCTTTTTCTGTCTTTCTCTCATTACACTCTCTCTCTCCCCCTTTCACGCTCTCTTTCTCCGTTCTGTCTCCTTTTTGCTCTTTTTTTCTGTCTCTCTTTTTACTCTCTCCTACTCTTTCCTTTTGTCTCACTTTCTTTCTCTCTCTATTCTTTTTGTATCGCTTTCTTTCTGTGCTCTCTCTCCTTCGCTCTATCTTTCTTTTCTCTCTCCATATCTCTCACTCTCTCGCCCTATCTCTGCCTCTCTCTCTTACTGTCTCCTACTTTTTCTCTCTCTCCTTTTTCAGACTCTCTCTCTCTATCTCTTTCTTCTCTGTCTCTCTGTCTCTCTCTCTCTCTCTCTCTCTCTCTCGGCCAGTGCTGTTGTGTATGACACATTAAGCTGTGTTCAGAGAACATTAGTAACATTTGAAAGCTGTTGTTTTTTTTCCATCTGCTGGATGGTTTTGGCGTTGATGGCCAGCTCCACACATTTGTCAGTATAGTGGCACATTGACGTGGCATTTGATCAAATGAAGCAGGCCAACACTTTTTTATTGCTTTAAAGAGCTGCTTCAGATGCCATGAGGACTCTGCCTTGCAACGTTTCCATACTGACCACAAAACTTCTGTTATGACACACACAATCGGCCGCATCACCCCCCCCCCACACAGACACACTGAATGGTTCGTCCTCTCCTCTTTTGTCATGCGCACACACACACACACTCCTGTTTTACCACAGAACACACATTTGAAACTCTTCTGTTGTAGTCATCAGTGCATCTGCCTCCAACTTTCAGCAGTTCACCATTTAGTGATCATTTTCACACACTGTGTAACAGATACTTCCTTTATTTTTCCATTGAGTGGTTAGGAGGTGCACATGCACATTAAAGTTTTCAGTCATAAACCAATTTGGTATCAGATAAATATTTAAAATGGTTCTAAAATGCTGGTACTGTTGCACCTCATAGGTTTCAAATATAGTTTAACTAGTTTGAAGCCGTAAAGAAAAATGAAGGAATTGTAAAAGTGTCCAGAAGCTCCAGATTATTCTAAAACCTCTGAGAAAGCTGTACGGCATGAAGAATGCTGTATCGCATTTGAAAAGCAGTGAACAAGCAGATAACATGACAAATAATTGATTGTAAACAGGTATTTACAGTATATTAGTTCACATTTAATGACTTTGTGTCCAAAATGCTTGATACATTAAACGAAACCTCTACAAATGCTGGGGATTTGCCGATATGGGAATTGTGTGCTGATGCCGATATCTGATATTTCCCATGTGCATATCTGCCAGTGCTGATACTTTCAAACCTTTTGTTACAAAAGGATGTATAGTATTTTGGAATGCAACTCTATACAGTTGTATGCAAAAGTTTGGGCAGCCTGGTTAAATGATATTTTGTTGATTTTGAAAGTGAAAGAAAAAAAGTGAACATATCCTCTACAAAGAACGCAGTTCCGCACACTTTAATGCATGATTACTGTTTATTTGACAAATTTTCTATATGGGTGGTATTAAAACATGAAATGTGGCAAAAGTTATGGCACGTTTTATATTTTCTATTTTTATTTATTTAATTTTTAATATGGTAAACAAGTAGAAATTGTGCACTAAACTGTGCTGTCCCTGTAGAGGATGTGTTAACTTATTTTCACAAATCAACAAAATATCATTTGACTAGTGGTTTTCAAACTTTTGCATACAACAGTTGTCTATTCAATATAATATGACAAGAATGATTCTGACTCCAAACTTTGGAACGCTAGTGTAGATCAACATTATTCATCGACAGCATGCCTCGGTTTTGAATAATGCCTGCTGGCAGTGGCAGCGCAGAGAGAGCAGCTTCACACCTGCTGTCATCAAGCCTCTGTTAACTCTGACACACATACGCACGCACACACACACACATGCACGCACTTACTCACCAACACTGTTAGAAATGGAAATGTTTTGCATTTCGCATGATTTTCTGTCCTGTCATTGAACGTCTCTCTCTAAGACACACGGGTTTACTTGCTAACACCACTTGACAAACACATGTTTATCGCTCTTGTTTATGCTGACTTGTCATTTTTACATATACACAGTTGTACGCGTATACACATACACGTCACTGTTATCTTAAACAGCCTGTCCTTAATCACTGCTCCGTGTTATTACCTTACATATATGCGCACACTTGTTTACCTGCTGATTTGCTAACACTATTCGAGAAGCACGTTTATCATCACTAGCATTTGGTTAGGCTTTTCCTGTGTCATCACTACACACATACA